GTTATTTTTTATGTCTTTTGCATGGATGTTAAAAGAAAGCTCAATTTATGTACAGACTGTGTTTTTAACATCATGTCCTGATGTTTATCTTTAAAAATAAATCTAAGGACAATGGTCAGTATTTTAGGAAGTTAGAGAAAACAGGGGGAAAAGTCTCAGTTTAAGTGGGCTGAATTTGAATGCCAGGGCTGGGAGGCAATTGAAATGCAAAATGTTGAACAGGAAGAGGGCACCTTAGAGTTGAATACCTGTAGAATACATTTGTGGGGAGAAAGTTGGCAGGCTGAGATAGGTATCTGGACCACGCACACGCCCATCGTAGGGGCCGGAAGGCCTCTGCTACACTGCGGATCCTTGATGGCATCCTGCCCTCCTCAGTTGCTCACGTTGGTGTCAGTTTGGGTCTTTGCATGTCTGGAAGGGCCAGCTTGTTACTTGACTTGGTCATGCCATTTTCCTTCTGGGCCTCAGACTCCACCAGTGAGAAACAAGGGGAACACAGCTCCTTTGCAAGTTCCTTGCGTACGTTGACAGGCTGCTTGTACGTGACTGGCTCTGTTTGGAGCTTGTACACCCAGCCCTTTGCTCCTGCCTCGCCTCTGGGAAACCCAAGCATCTGAATCCACATATTCACTATAAGTTTTGATGCACAATCTTCCAAGTCCATCTCTACAACTTTGATTTTTTTAAAAAAAATTCTTTACTTTATTTGAAAGGCAGAATTAGAGAGAGGGAGACAATGAGACAGAGATCTTCCATCCTCTCGTTCACTCCCCAAATGGCCGCAATAGCCAGGACTGAGCCAGGCTAAAGCCAGGAGCCAGGAACTCTGTCTGGGCCCAAGCACTTGGGCCACCGTCTGCTGCTTTCCCAGCTACGTTAGCTGGGAACTGGATCAGAAGCAGAGCAGCTGGGTCTCAAACCAGAGCTTGCATCAGTGCCTGCTTCGTAGGTGGTGGCTTCACTTGGCTGTGGCTCAATGCTGGCCTCCTTCTGTACAACTTTGAAAAGGACAATCAAGCACTTCATTATACTTTATCCAACCACAACCTCATAAGCTCACTGGATTCTCACTGTAAAGAACAATGATCTTCAAAGCAAGGCAGATGTTATCTCTAAACATGCATCGGAAGTGTGCTGATGACGGCTTCCTTCGGAGGCTGTGAGTAGTCAGGGATCTGCAGAGAAGCGGTGTGTACACATGGGTGGACAGATAGACTTCTTATAGGAAATAGACAGTTGTGAAGGTGGTGACGCCCCAGCATCTGCAAGATCAGTCAGCATGCTGGGACCCAGGAGTGCCAAGGGTGTGTGTCCGGCGGAAGGCTATGAGCCCAAGACTAAGAAGAGCCCATGTTTCTGTCAGAATCCAAAGGCAAGAGAAAAGCCAGGGTCCCAGTTTGAAGTCGGACAGGCGGACTTTGTACTCAGTGCAAGGAAGGCTGGAGTGGCTGAGGCCCGCCCACATTCGGAAGGCATCAGCTTGACCCGTCTCCCACTGAAATGCTGGTCTCATCCCCAAATACCGAGACTGTAGTAGACCAGATGTCTGAGCACCCTGTGGCCCATCAAGTTGTCACCTAAAAATCAAGCATCATGAAGGTTCCCGTCAAGAAAAGGACAAGGAGTGTTGTTGAAATAGAGGAGTTGTTGAAATAGAGGTTACTTTTCCTTCGCGTTTTCTATAAAATTTATAAATTCTATAAAATTTATAAATTACCTCCACAATGAACATGATTGACTGACCGAGATACTAATTCTCTCTTTTATTTTATTTTTTTTTTATTTTTTGACAGGCAGAGTGGACAGTGAGAGAGAGACAAAGGCCTTCCTTTTGCCATTGGTTCACCCTCCAATGGCCGCCACCGCCAGCGTGCTGCCGCCGGTGCACCGCGCTGATCCGATGGCAGGAGCCAGGTGCTTCCTCCTGGTCTCCCATGGGGTGCAGGGCCCAAGCACTTGGGCCATCCTCCACTGCACTCCCGGGCCACAGCAGAGAACTGGCCTGGAAGAGGGGCAGCCAGGACAGAATCTCGCGCCCCGACCGGGACTAGAACCCGGTGTGCCGGCGCCACAAGGCAGAGGATTAGCCTAGTGAGCCGTGGCGCTGGCTTGATACTAATTCTCTTGAATTGGAATCCCATTTTAGTAAAATCCTTGTGCTTCTGACTGCTTCAGGCTACAGGGGTCTCCTAGCCCTGTCTTCCCTCTAATCAACCTAAGCCTCAGGATCCGTGTTCTTCTCTTGATTTCACCTGCATCCTGGGTGGAGCAATCTACAATCTACAAGTGCTAAAAATGATTAAAGTGCTTCTGATAAAGTTTTTTGGAAGATTTTTATTTATTTTTTTGAAAGGTAGAACTAGAGGCAGGAGAGAGCGAGAGAGAGGTCTTCCTTCTGCTGGTTTACTTCCCAAATGGATGCAACAACCAGGGCTGGACCGATCGGAAGCCAGGAGCTTCTTCTGGGTCTCCCACGTTGGTGTAGGGGCCAAGAACTTGGTCCATAGCAGAGAGCTGGATCGGAAGTGGAGCAGCCAGGACTTGAACTGGCGCCCATGTGGGATGCCGGCACTGCAGGTGGCAGCTTTACCTGCTACACTACAGGACTGGCCCCTCTGATAAATTTTTTTATTTTTCCAGTTCTTTCTTTCTTTTTTTATTTTTTAAAGATTTATTTTATTTATCCAAAGGACAGAGTTACAGAGAGAGGTAGAGACAGAGAGGTCTTCCATCTGCTTGTTCACGCCCCAGATGGACACAATGGCCGGAGCTGCACCGATCCGAAGGCAGGAGCCAGGAGCTTCCTCCAGGTCTCCCACGAGGGTGCAGGGGCCAAAGGACTTGGGCCATCTTCTACTGCTTTCCCAGGCCATAGCAGAGAGCTGGATCAGATGAGGAGCAGCTGGGACTGGAACCGGCACCCATATGGGATTCTGGCGCCTCAGGCCAGGGCTTTAATCCACTGTGCCCCTCTGATAAAGTTTTGATTCCCTGTGTATCATTTGTGATAGAACTGTCTTAACCTATTGGTGGTGATTTGATGTGTAGTCACATAAATACATTAAATGATGCTTTTGAGAGTACTTTGTAAACTGAGGAATTCAGTGTCAGTGTAAGATCATGTATGTCATCTCTCATCTACGATGGCTCACGTTGACCTGGGTTTTCTCCTCTCCTTTCCTTTTCCCTGCTCCCCCCTCCTCCCCCTCCTCCCCCCTCCTTCCCTCCCCTGGACACCATGGTCACTTCAGTGTGCTCTCTGACTTCCTTGTTCTACTGATAATGATGAGTCAGCACATGATTCCTGTGGCTCTGATTGCCATCCTGTTTCTTTCCTGCAGAAGTGTTGTACAGTGACCTAGATGAGAAATGCTAACAGGGCTGGTGCTGTGGCTTACTAGGCAAATCTTCTACCTACGGCGCCAGCACCCTGGGTTCTAGTCCCGGGTAGGGCTCCAGTTCTGTCCCAGTTGCTCCTCTTCCAGTCCAGCTCTCTGTGGTGGCCCAGGAGTGCAGTGGAGGATGGCCCAAGTGCTTGGGCCCTGCACGCACATGGGAGACCAGGAGGAGGCACCTGGCTCCTGGCTTCGGATCAGCACAGCGCGCCGGCCTTGGCAGCCATTTGGGGGGGTGAACCAACAGAAGGAAGACCTTTCTCTCTGTATCTCTTTCTCACCATCTAACTCTGCCTGTCCAAAAAAAAAAAAAAAAAAAAGAAATGCTAACAGAGGACTTTGAGAGAGACTGGGAAGCACCCAGGATTTGTGCTGCTTTTCCATGGGAAGGAACTGAGGCGACACAGTGTTCAGGGTTGGCAGTCCTCCCACGTAGCACTTGCCAGTGATTGTGGATTCACTCAAAGTCCAGCGTGAAGGGTCCGGGTCTGTTTGCTGTAACTTGGCAAAACTGGAGATGCAGTGGTTAGAAGGGAAATGTCGTAGCTCTTGAACTGGGTCTCGCGGGTCCCCTCTTGCATTTTGAGACTGCTCCTCAAGCCTTTTTTTAAAAGATTTATTTATGTATTTGAAAGACAAAGTGACAGATTTCTTCCATCCACTGGTTTACTCTCTAAGTGGTCACAATGGCTACCGAAGCCAGGAGCCCAGAGTTCCATCCGGGTCTCCCACGTGGGTGTAGGGGCTCAAGGGCTTGGGCCATCTGCTGCTGCCTTCCGGGGATCATGAGGAGGGAGCTGGGTCAGAAGAGGAGCAGCCAGGACTTGAAGCAGCTGGTACTCGGCCTTGCAGGCGGCAGCTTTGCTCACCGCACAGCAGTGCCGGCCCTCCTGAAGACCTTTGGAGGGCCCAGTTTCTCTTGTGTTGCCGACTTCCTGTGTGGCCAGGTCATGAGAGCTGTTTTCGCCCATTCTGTAACAGATTCTGACTTCTGCACCAAGGAGAGGAGTCCCAGCATTGGACTCCCTCTCTGTACCAACTCGTAACTTCGTTTCTTTAAGTCAGAAGGATTGGTTACTGGTGTGTTAGCAACTGCAGATACTTGAATTTTAATCAGATGGCCAGATGGTGATTATTCTTCAAGATACTGAAAATAGAAGTAAAAGTCCTGTTTGTATTTTTTCCTGAAGTCCATTTGCTTCTTATTGTTTTGACTCATGCACTTCAAAAGAACAGGAACACGAAGCCCCAGCTTCATTCATTCCTCATCTCTTTGTGTGCTGTAAACATGAAGTACATTGGAAAGCCCGGCTTACACGGTGGCTCCTGTCTTAGGTCACGATGGCTTGGTGTTTTGGCATGTCACTGTGTTGGGGCCACCAGCCTTCTCGTTTTGGGTGGTCCTGGTGACCCCCAGCACTGTGAGACCAGCTCTCTGCTTCTGTCGGGAGAGTTCCAGGTGGTGTGATCAGGGAGCGCTGATTGGACCCATGTAACCCCAGCTGCAATGAATTTTTCCTTAAAGTTTGTGACAGGGATCTCATTTGAACCCAGCCCGTGAAAACTGACTTTTCTTTAAGTTGTCCGTGGTTTTGCTTTAAGATCCAGCAGTGGGAGCAGAACCTGGAGAAGTTTCACATGGATCTCTTCAGGATGCGCTGCTACCTGGCCAGCTTACAAGGCGGGGAGCTGCCGAACCCCAAGAGTCTCCTGGCTGCCGCCAGCCGCCCCTCCAAGCTGGCCCTGGGCAGGCTGGGCGTCTTGTCCGTGTCTTCTTTCCACGCTCTGGTGAGTTCCCAGCGAGGGCTGTGTGGGCGCCACCCAGGGAGGGCCGGGGACGCTCCGCTCTCTGCAGCTTGCTCCGCTGAGCCCGGCAGCTGCCGAGGGCCGCCTGAGGCCAGGGGCCTGGGCCTGGGGGGAGGAGACGGCGCGGAGTCCCTAGCTCCTCTAGTGCTTATGTGAGGGCTCCAACTGGCAGTGCCCATGGTCACATAACTGCGTCTGCCTCGCCTTCTCCGTCTGGTCCACCCAGCATGGCCGGGAGGGCGGGGTCCCCAAGGAGTGGCACAGTGCTCTAGAGAATGAAAGGACTGAGTCAAGGCTGTGTGACCCCAGCTGCAGAGGGCCCCCCTGGGTCTGCTGAGCTGGCTTCACTGTGTTGCACTGGCGCAGCTCGGGCTCTGTAGGTGGTGGCGTTAACCCTGCCGCCCCCTGCAGAGAGATCTGACCGCTGTAGTGGCTTGTACCATCCAGATAAGAGGTAGCGAGATGACAGGCACACTCCTCATGGGTCAGAATGCATTTGCAAGCACACAGCATTTCCTCCTGTTTGCATAATAACCCTGAAGGTGGTTTTTTTTTTTGTTTTTTTTTTGGGCTGTGTGTGAATTTAGGGGTGCTCTAGGAATGACTCCGCTCCTCCGGAAAAAAACCCTTGTCTCTGAGCACAAGGGAAGACAAGAAGGCAATCTTCTCCCTCCTTAAAAGGCCGGACACCCTGGAAGAAGAGGGAAGGAGAAAAGAGCCTCCATAGCACAGGTGAGCAGCAGCGGGGAGCCACGGGCCCCTGGGACACGCCTGCCACCCCGGCTGCAGACCCTGAGCGTTCATCTCCTTTCAGTGAAGGTTGATCCAGAGGAATCCATCGTCGTGTGGGCCTTTTCTAAAGTGGCTCCATGTGCTTGGCCCATCCAGAGGCGGGGTGTGTAGAAACACACAAGAGAAGAGGAAGCCGGAAAGGACCCACACTTTTCATTGCCTATAGCACTCCTGTTTCTCTTTCCATAGTTTTTACATCCTGTGGCTAGAGCTGGACGCTTTGCTTCCTGCATCCTTACAACACGAAGTGCAGGTCTTGTGTCATCCCATTTCATAGACAGGAGACTGACACTTGGAGAGATTCTGACCCCTTCCCTGTTCACCAGCACCCCAAGGGCAGAATTGGGGCCTGCCTGAGTCCAAACCCTGGACAGTTGCTGATGCTTCTTTGCCTCTGAGGAGTGGTGGCCATTTTAACGTTTTATGGAGTAAGATAGCCTGAGCATCTGTGGCCCAGGGAGAGTGTGGTGATGTCAGAACACCTTGAAGGTGTGTATTGGCTGTGTTTCATAATGCCCGTCACTTAGTGTATGATAATGAGCTCTCTCCTGCTGATTGGTGTGTTAAGATGATTATTTTTTCAAAGACTATTGGAAAGAGAACTTAGGTGATGATCTGATTTAGAGACCAGGGAGAACATTGCAACTAAATCAGAAGTTGTTTTATTTTTACCAGGTTGCTCCTGTTGCTTTCAGTATCAGCTGAAAGAGAGTCTGGTTTTATTTGACTTGGTTTTCTAACTTGTATGTGTCTTTTTAATTTGTGCATAACACTTGTGTGGTTTAGGTGACTAGAAAGACTGGTATCACTTATCAGCTTCTTAGACCTGTTGAAAACCTTGCAACAATACAGGTGTCGAGGTGGGGCTGGGTGTGAACTGATCAAGAGAATGAGCTGAAACTCATGAAACCTTTTTATGTGACCCCTAAAATTGTGGCTGCGCTGTTACTTGTAAAGAGTAATCATTTGTTGGTTACAAATGGACATAGATTTTGTCATTATAGATTGTAGTCACCTGTAAGCCACTGGCTAATGCAGGGCCTTTGCTGTAGGAGTTGAGCCTTTTTGAAGTTTAGCTAATGTCCTTATAGCCACTTCAGATTTTAATTAAGATAGTCAGTTCTGTATAATTAATGGTAACATGATAAAGCGCACCATGAAAGACTTCTTTTCCTTAGAGACAGACATGCAGCCAACTAGACATCAATCTAATGTGGTCTTTACCCAGTGTGTGGGGTAAATGTTCTCAACATAAGATTTCTTAATAAACAAAAAGCATTTGGTGGAACATCTTTTGGTTTTTTTGAAAAAGATATGGAACCAGTTATAGTGTTGGTACTCATGTAAATGAATGAAGTTGATTTGGTAGGTTTTCCTGAATGTTAACATGATCTTTAGTGTCAATTATTCTGTTACAAAAGTTAGAAGGTAAAATTTGGATAAGTTAAGGAAATGATTCCTAGTCCCTCTACCCAAGCATAACCCATTTTTTACATTTAGCTATAGTTTTTTCCAGGATTTATTCTGTGCACATAGAGTTCTATGCTTGATTTTGGCGGTTTTGCCAACTCAATTCTGGGTTGTGTCCCACATCTTCAAAAATACGTGCTTTGGGTTAAAAGCAACATCAGAAAGACTCGGAAGCCTTGGGTAATAGGTGGCACCATTGAAGAATACAATGTAGAACCATACAGGAAGGAAAAAAAAATCTTGTTTTTTTTTTTTCAAAGTTGAAACTTTAAATGTAGTAGAATAGTAGATGTTACAAATTTTGATATCAAGGTCTCACACTATTATAGAGAAATTTAATTTTTCAATGTTTAAAAAGACTAATGGCTAGATGAACATTGCACAGCCATTTCATGTGTTTTTCCCCCTCTGTCTGTCAGATATTTGATTCAAGTGGCAGCCATGGATTTTCTGGAACTCAGCTACCTCAAAACTCCAGTCACTCCAACGAGGTAAACTTTGCTGTAGGTGGCAGCCATCTTGTTTTCCATGATGATACCAATGAGAAATTAGGGGGGGAATCCTCATTCAGAATTTCTGTGAGAATGTGTTGAAAACAGGTTGAGAATTAAAATAATCTCCAATAGACTACTAGATTTCTGCTGAGTGCTTCTGACAACACCGTCTGAGAGAGAGAGGTCTTCCATTCTACTGGTTCATTCCCGAAATGACCGCAACAGCCAGAGCTGAGCTGATCCGAAGCCAGGAGCTTCTTCCAGGTCTCCCACGTGGGTGCAGGGGCCCAAGAACTTGGACCACCTTCTACTGCTTTCCCAGGCCACAGCAGAGAGCTGGATCAGTAGAGGAGCATCTGGGACTCAAACCAGTGCCCATATGGGATGCTGGTGCTGCAGACTGGGGCTTTAACCCTGCTGTGCCACAGCACCGGCCCCTCCTTTTGGCCTTACAAGTGCTCCAACTGAACAGATCCTCACAAGAGTTTTAGAATGAAGTTCTGGAGTAGGGTAAAGACTGGATGTGCTTTGCTTATTCATTGTGTTTCAAACCCACGCTTTTCTTTTGAAGCCTTGTTTCACGCTATCTATCCATCAGTCTTTATCTTCACCACTAAATCATTTTATCTTCTGTTTGAGTTCTGACAGACCTCTCAGCTGTTTGTTGAGGATGGGAGTCATTTTATCATAGGCTTCTATACGCTTAAAATGCCTTTGCAGAAGCAAGTGGTGTTGGTAGTAAATTAGTGGGGCTAATTCATTGAATTAGGGATTTTGTTTGAAAACACTGAGGAATGCTGGAGTGTCAGATGCGGTGGTAGATCCTGGTGGAGGAGCATCTCACTGATCCTCAAATACACAGCACAGACAGCTCTGTAATCGCCCTCAGCTCCTGGGCGAGGGTGGCCCGATCCCTGCTGTGCCAGCATCGTTGTGGAGCAGGCTCCCGGGGCAGCTCTGCCCGAGCCGTCCTGCTTCCTGCAGGAGGAGCTCAGAATGGGGTAGAAACCCCTCCGCTCAGAGCCTGGCTCCTCCAAGGCTCCCTGCCCAGCTAGAGAGGCGCTGTGGCTCCTACCCAGACCCTGTGCTTCTGCAGTTGCTGTTTTATGCTCTCCTTACCTGAATCTCACCCACAATGGGGGCGAGGAAGTCAAATCCAAACCATCCTTCTTATAAATCATTCCACCCACATGGCAGACTTTTCATAACAAAGCATTCCCCTGCCCTTTTATTTATGTGCACATGTGGAACCTGTTTAAAAATCCAGATCAGACCATGCCATCTTCAAGGGGCTTGACTTGGTTTTGTTGTTGTTATTGGTCGCAATTATCTGCCTGGTTCAACGCAACCATCTTGTGTTGTTCTCCATCTTTTCAATGGAATAAGAGTCTTTAAAAAATGTGTATTATAGAAAAAGTACGCATGGATTTCAAAAATTTTCCTTAGCAAAAGTTCATTTTTTTTTTAAAGATTTATTTATCTGAAAGAGTTACAGAGAGAGAGAGAGAGAAAGACAGATCTTCCATCTGCTGGTTCCCTCCCCAAATAACCACAATGGCCAGGGCTGGGCCAGGCTGAAGTCATTCGAGTCTCCCGTGTGTGTGCATTGCCTTCCCAGGCACACTAGCAGGGAGCTGGATTGAAAGGGGAGTAGCCAGATCTTGAACTAGTACCCATAGGGAATGCTGGCACTGTAGAACGTAGCTTAACCTGCTACGGCACAGTGTCGACACCTCCATGAACTTCTTTTGAAGTCCCCTCTTATATGTCTTTTCTGGGAGAGCTGGTCGTCAGGGCCCTTGGTCTGTAGCGTTTAGGCCTCTCCTATGACTTACAAGTGTATTCCAAGTCTCTAGCACATTGTTAAATATATGGTACTGGCTTAATGATTTGCACATTAGTTATTTATGTTAGATGTAGTCATTTAATGATGGAGAACTGCTCTATTTGCCATAATAGCTTATGATTTTAGGCTTTCCAAGCATTGTATAACAATTTTAAATTCCTTCTTTAAAGATTGAGAAATTACATCATTGAAGCACTTTCTATGAACAGAAGTTATATTGGCCTTTGAAAATAAATTTTTGCTAAAATAACCACTGGGGGTGAGAAGTAAACTTAGTGCATATTTAAACTGGGCTCACATTAGCAGATGATTTTCTTGTATTTGGCAGACAAATCCATCAATGCTTCAAGAGGTGAGAGGAAAGTGTCATAGTGCAGGGGTCTATACTTTTTAAGTTCTCATATCTAGGAAGTCATCCCATACTTTTGATATGGGAAGAATGAGAAAATTCGTTTCTTTCATAGCACTATTTTGATGGTGTATCTATTATTTCTGTGCCTCAGTTCTCAGACAACGAAGTCCAAATTGATTTGCTGCTACTATTAAGGGTATAATTTGATATTTTATGTCTCTGGGACTTCCAGTCAGCCGGTTACCTGGTTGAATAATTAACAGTACATTTCACCAGTTTTCCTCTGCTGATCATTCTCGGGGAATATTTATAAGGAGGACAAAGCATCTGTTTTTATACAGTGAGTACATTATGTCCGTCCGTGTAGCACAGAGGAGCCATTGTGACGGAGGGGCCGTGAGCAATCTAAAATATTCCACTCTAATTGGCGCATCTCGGGGCGGTCCAAACCTGAGCCGCCCTCATTTGAAATCTGTTACCCTTGGAATAAAGCCAGTCTTATTTGAGTATTTTCTGAAGGATACTTTGGCTTGCCAAAAAACCCGAAAGCTTTTAACAGCCGCTTCTTGCTGAGTAATAATGGCCTTCTTGGGGCGTCTGAAGGGAGGCGTTTGTTATGGAGACTGTGACAACAAGCCCCCTGCTGAAGCACTGGGTGGCAGCTACAGCAGAAGCCGCACTCCGAGACTGTGGCAGCCCCTGGGCCTTGGCCCTCTCCCCTGGAAAATTGGCTTGGGGCGTCCCAGCTTTCCATGGCGGTGAGTGAATGAAGTCTTGTCGCCTGTCATTAGCTCCAAACCAGAGCTTGGGGTGGGGGAGACTACCCTACTGTTTGTTTCTCAGGTGGAAAATGGAAAATGTGAATGAAACCACTCAGTCTTGACTGGCCCACTGTGGTCTATGTCAGCAGACTATCAGTGTGGAGCCCCGCGTCACAGATGTGTCCACACACAGACACGTGTACAGGCGACCCGCGAACCAGCGAGAGCGGGCTTTGTTTTCCTTTCCTATCAACTGACGTGTGGGCTGGAGCCCAAGAAGGAAATAAACACTTTGTCCTCTGTGACATTTGTGAAGAAGACGCGGGCCTAGGGCTCCTTTTGTGTTGGCTTCTCATCTCACTTGCTAATAGCCGGTCCTTGCTGTGGGCCCCGCTCCTGCCAGCCAGATTGTGATGTGCTACTCACTTCCCCTCCCTGATCCAAGCGGTAATTACAAGCCATTAGATCCCAAAGCATCTGCTGTGAGAATGCACTAAGTCTCAATTTTCTCTCCGAGTGAGCGGCACACCAAGCCTCAGCAATTTGACATGTGGTTTCATTAATATAATAATAATAATAATAATAATAATAATAAATGCTTCTGTACAAGTTGCCGTAAAAAGGCGGGGTTTGCATGTGTTAACCCACCTGGCTGTAGGGGTTGTGGCTCCAGTGCGTTGCTGGTGCGCCCACATCAGGGCGGGACTGCAGGGTGGGCCCACGCAGCCGCCGCCAATCCCACAGTGCCCACAGAAGCTGGGCCGGGCTCCCGTGTGGTGCCCCGCGGTGGCCATTACTGAATGGCGGTGGTTGTGTCAGGTACAGTTTAGTGCCCCTCTGCAGGCTTTAGACATGATGCCTTGGGAATGCCATTCCCTGGGTCAAGCTTTTACTGGGCCCCTGGATGACCAGTGCTCCGAGCTGGGCTGTCTTAGTACATTTGTGCTGCCCCTGTTTGCGTTCCCCAGCAACCAGCAGCCTTGACTGGTCCATCTGGAAGCTCATTTTTCTCAGGTGGCTGGGGAGGAGTCATGGGAGTGGGGGAGGCTTGTGGAGCAGGAGGCCAGGTGGGTGTGCAGCAGTGGACAAAGGTAGCCAGTTACCAAATTCCAGGTGAGTGCGCACAAAAATTCACTTAACACAGTGAGCAGGGAAAAGACCTGCCCAGTTGGCTTGTGTGTGTGTGTGCACAAGTGGGTGTGCATATGGGCCTGTTTTCAAGATTTCTCTGTTCCTTTTACTAAAAGATTGCAGGACGGTATTTTATCAAGGTTATTGAATCGAAAGCATGTGTGCTGTCAACTTGGATAGACAGTGTTAATCCTGCTTGCTGGAATCAGTCCAGCTTTCTCACCAAGTAGGTAAAGTTTATAGCAGCCGAGGAGACCTCTAGTATCAAGTAGCTTTTAAACTTCTAGTTCTAGTGAATTAATTAACCCGTCAATTCTGCAGTCTTTTTTCCAGCTAACAATTTTAGTTATTTATTTGAAAGGCAGAGCAACACAGAAAGATAGAGATCTCTCATTTGCTGGTTCATTCTCCAAATGCTCCTAACAGCCGGGACTGTGCCAGACTGATGCCAGGTGCCTGGAATTCAATCTGGGTCACCCACCTGGATGGTAGGAACCCAAGTGCCTGAGCCATCACTGCTGCCTCCCAAGGTGTGTAGTAGCAGGAAGTTGGAATGGAGAGTGGAGCCAGGACTCAGTCCACCCACTCTGGTATGGGATGCGGGTATAGCAAGAGGTGGCTTAACCACTGTGCTGAATGCCCACACCCAGTTCTGCAATCTGGATGCTTTTGAATAACTGGGTTTAACCTTTCTTGAATTGAATATGTTAATAGCATGAGCATGTGTGTAAGTGTGTGTGCCTTGCAGAAGAAAATTATACTAAACTTTCATTGAGGCATTTTGAGGGTCTGAATCCTTGATGACCTTGGCCTGGGTAGGCATTTTCCTTCTGTCATAAATTGGATCTTAGGTTAATGGGGTAGGCCCAGAGAATGATTCCCAGGAGCAGTGGTAAGCACAAAGCTTTATGTAATTGAATATAATGGGGATATTTCTTCTGTACTTCTGTCCGTCCCTCCACTTACCTGCACACCTTTCTCTTATCCAGGACTTGTTTTGCTTTTCAATCTGTCAGTTTCTCTTCTTGAAACTTCAGGTAGGATTAAGCCTTTGTGTAAATATATTTGGATCGGCTGCTGAAGATGCATAGCTTTTCCCTTTCAGGCCTGTGCGCGACTGTGAATTGCTCCTTGTAGCTGATGCAGCCCCCAGGTGCTGGGTTGTTCTGGGTGCAGCCTGACTGTGTTAAGGTCTGAAGGAGATGGGGAAGGAGAAACTCCAAGCCCCTGCTTTCACTCATCACCCAGGGCCCGTGGCAGGGGACCTAAAAGTGACCGCTACGTGGGCGGGGCTTTGATGATTGCTATGCTAGGGACCTAGACGAGCAGAGTCATGGAACTGAGTGGAATTGGGAGTGGGGGACAGAGACAGGAGATTTCGTGTGTGTGTGTGTGTATGATACTCTTGCATATGGTTTGAGCACTGGAGCTGGGAGGGAGAAAACACAAGAAATGGAAGGGAGGCAGGTGAGTGCCAGTCCTTTCTGGGGAATGTCTGGTTCAACCAGATCCTGGTATATGTAGTAGGCTAATGGGGACAAAATAGATTTAGGCAACACCCCTGTGTGTGTGTGTGTGTGTGTGTGTGTTAACTGCCAGGGTGATGTTTCTATACAGCATCCTGGTGGTGAGTACAGGTTCAAGCCCAGATGTCCCGGGCTACAGTCACTAGTGATGTGAGCTTGGGCGAGTTTCTAGAATCTTCTGAGCTTTCTTTTTCTCACCTGTTAACTAGGGGGTGGGCCATGGTCATGACAGGTAGTGTGAGTGGTGAGTGAACGGGCAAGCAGCGTGTTGAGTTTGTTGCATTTGGCTTTGGGTGAGGCAGTGTCAGGGTTGCACAGCAGGGGAGGGGACAGGGCTGCGACTGCATCCCAGTGTCTTTGTCTCATCCTCAGTGACCGTTTCCTGCTCTCCAAAAGTGCAGTGCCCAACCGCGCTGCCGCCTTGCGTGGTTTCTTACTGCACAGTGACCTCTGCTGGGGCTCTAGTTTGATTCGCAGCAAGTGTACTTGAGAGGTGGGACCCAAGACTTAGGGCGGCACCTGCCTGTTGCCCAAACACCTGGCTGAAATCTGCCCAGATGAGGAGGAGTCCCTGGGAGAGAGACACAGGAGAGGAGGTCTGGAGACAGCGCTCTGAGCGTGGCACGCAGAGGGCTTCCTCCACCCAACCCTTCTCCCTCCTGGCTCTTTGTTTCTTTTCGAGTTGGCACACGAGGGGGTTTTTATTCTGACTGTGGTCATCCTGCCAGGAAAATGTGCTGGGAGTGACAGATCCGGAAATGTCACTTCAAAGTTGAGCGCCACGTTTTCAAAACGACGACACAGGAGCTTGATTCTCCCCTTGCTTTGCTTAAACCTGTTCGTTTGAATTTCTTCTCTATCTCTGTTCTAGCTTTGTAATCCTATGCAGGAGGGTCTTGTGCTCTTAAGAATGCAGGGACTTGAGGTATGATAAGTGAGATGTAGCAATATGATAGTACTGAATCTGGGACCTCTTCTGGTGTGTAAGGTGTTTTCACGTGTATGACTTCCTTTGTTCACAAAGTTTCTCCAGTTAATTGATAAACTTAACTAGTTTATTTTTTTAAAGATTTATTTATTTATTTGAAAGAGTTACAAGAGAGAGGTCTTCCATCTGCTGGTTCACTCCCCAATTGGCCGCAACAGCCAGAGCTGCCATGGTCCAAAGCCAGGAGCTTCTTCTGGGTCTCCCACATAGGTGCAGGGGCCCGAGGACTTGGGCCATCTTTTGCTTTCCCAGGCCATAGCAAGGAGCTGGATCGGAAGTGGAGCAGCCGGGTCTTGAACCAGCACCCATGTGGGATGCCAGCGCTTCAGGCCAGGGTGTTAACCCGCTGCGCCACAGTGCCGGCCCCAAACTTTACTTGTTTATTCATGGCCCTTTTACAGGAGGGCAGGTGAGGCTTAGACAGGTGAATGTCTTATCCTAGGCCGCTCTCTGCAGGTTCAGTGCTAGCACCTATGACCTTTGGTTTCAAATCCCCAAATGTTTTATTTACTCCCATGAGAATTCTGGAGCCTAGACCAAGATAAATATTTCTGAACTGCTTTTACACTGTGCATTTTTTGCTGTGAATTATAGCGTGCACGGTAGCACAGGGCCATGAAATTGCTGTGATGGTGACCTTCACGGAAGCAAACATTCTTGGGAAAGGCTTCCTGAAAGTGGTGAGAGAGGGAGAGATCCCCCCAGGTCCAGCGGTTAATTGAGAAACAAAACCAACAAGTAGAAATAATGGAGGCGAATCGTGCTTGGAGGAGGCTGAGTGCAAGTGAGGGTCAGGATGCAGGTGGGCATCAGTGGCCATGGATGAGTGTGTCTGCAGTTCACTGGGAAACTGAGAAGGGCCACAGCTTAGGTGGATTTCACAGTGGCCCTGTCCCAGCCACAGGGCTAGAGCAGCGTGAGTGGGTCCTCACCTGCCCCTACCTGGAGTGCAGTGATCTAACTTGGTCTAAGTGGCCAAATGGGACATGCATAGTTCCCCCGGGAAGGGAGTCAGCTGACTCGCACCTGACTCCTTGGTCTTGCAGAACGAGGGAGGAGGCACCTGGCTTGTCTGCCCCAGAGGCTCGTGGGAAGCGAGTGACGTGAGCAGAGTAGAAGGATTTCCGATAAATACTCTGCAAATTAAGGGGACTTTTTCTCAGTTGTTTTTGCATTTGTATATGAGACCCTTTAGCGTTTTCTTGTGCTGTGTCAATCAGGTGGATGACCTTCTGCATGGATACGGTTCACCCCTGGATGGCGTTCCCCGAGACAACGCATGGGAGAGTCAGGCCTACGTTCACTTTCGGGACAGTCAAGGAGTCACTGTAACGATCAAGCCCGAACACAGAGTAGAAGATGTTTTGACTTTGGCGTGCAAGGTAATGGCTTTTGGTGCAGGAATCTGCTTCTGAATAGAAGAAGGTCATTGGTGTTGCACCCCTGCGTCTTTAACTTTGTGTGGTGTTTAGGATTTCACTTTCTAGATTAGGGGACATATTAGTGTATCTATTAATGTATTTATTCTTGTGCATTCTGCCACTGGATTCCTTTGGATCCATGCCTTCCTGAAGAACTTGGATTCTACTGAATTTCTTTGTGTTCCCTTATTAAGTCTGGAATAATTATGAAGTCTGTTGCCAGTTACTTAGAGAGATGATACTCTAAAAAAAGTGGCATAAACTTTGGAGGGTTTGATTTAATCCTAACTAGCTTTACAACACTTCTATAAATTAGCTATTTGATCCCATTTGCAATTATTTATTGGAAATGTATTATGAGGGGCCTTCCAAAATTTCACAGATAATGTGTGTGATGAAGAAAATACTGCAGGATTTTCATAAACTTTTGCACCTAAATAAACTCTTTTAATTTCGCTTTCTGCGAACTCTCTGGAGTCCTTGTTTTCATCCATCAAGCTGAATCCGAGTATGTAAGTCTGCAAGAGAGAGTGTGGTGAGCAATGTCAGAGCAGAAACTTTTCGACCACCAGATGGCAGAGTAGAGCTTAAATAGTTTTTAAAGTTTCTAAAGAAAATACACCCAAATATGTGAAGCGATGAAAAAGGCACAGAGGGTTTAATAACTCTTTACCACGCACGCTTGGTCGATGTGGGTAATGGTTAGTTTGAGTCTTCTGTCACTCTGACTTGAAGCTTTAGGATACTGTACGTTTATATACGTCTGTATCTTGTGTGCTTAAGAACCTTCATTTCCTCTTTGCTCCAGTACGTAAGGTTTTTATTCATAAAAGCAACAGTGTTCTCCATCACTAATATCAGTTTTAAAGTGGATACGTTTTTCAAGTGATGGCCTATGTATGTACGAGAGAGGGAAGAGAGAGAGGGAGAGGAGAAGAGAACAGATTTTTCCTTTTCTAGAGTTTTTGGAGTAACAGATTCCTAATTCTGGAGTCTGTAGAATCTGAGATTATTATTAGTTTACAAATTTCTCTTGGAAAACAACTCAAAGTTATATACAACCAATACACAAAGAGACTACATTTGCTGAGATGCTAAGATAATTTTAAGGTATATCCTATCGGCCGGTGCCGTGGCTCACTAGGCTAATCCTCCGCCTTCGGCGCCGGCACACCGGGTTCTAGTCCCGGTCGGGGTGCCGGATTCTGTCCCGGTTGCCCCTCTGCCAGGCCAGCTCTCTGCTGTGGCCCAGGAGTGCAGTAGAGGATGGCCCAAGTGCTTGGGCCCTGCACCCCATGGGAGACCAGGAGAAGCATCTGGCTCCTGGCTTCAGATCAGCGTGATGTGTTGGCCGCAGTGCGCCGGCTGCGGCGGCCATTGGAGGGTGAACCAACGGCAAAGGAAGACCTTTCTCTCTGTCTCTCTCTCACTGTCCACCCTGCCTATGAAAAAAAAAAAAAGGTATATCCTATAATAACCTCTTAAAAATCTATCTCTTACCTTTAGAGATAAGCGGTATCATTTAGAGAAAAACCTCAAAAACAATCGTCTCTCCTTTTCTTTCCTGCACATTTAAGTGCAGGATCTCAGATACGACGTAGAAGCTTCCTGCTTTGACTCTGAATGAACCCGGTGAACAGTGATGGATGTAGAAAGGACATTTAAACATCTGAGTGAACTTCTTTGTCTTTATAGATGAGGCAGTTGGAACCCAGCCACTATGGCCTTCAGCTTCGGAAGTTAGTAGACGAGACCGTTGAGTACTGTATCCCCGCACCCTGTGAATATATGCATGAACAGGCAAGTGTGCGTTCACTTAGAACGGGAAGTGTGAGCCATCTCTGTGGCCTTTTGATTTTGAAAAATGTGACTTTAGGAGAAAACTCAGTTTAAATGTGGCATCTAGTTAGGAAACAGTCTTCATGTTTAAAGTATCCTGTGTAAGAAAATACATGACTGGAGGATGGCCCAAGGCCTTGGGCCCTGCACCTGTGTGGGAGACCAGGAGAAGCACCTGGCTCCTGGCTTTGGATCGATGCAGTACACTGGCCGTAGCGGCCATTTGAAGGGTGAACCAACGGAAGGAAGACCTTTCTCTCTGTCTCTCTCTCTCACTGTCTAACTGCCTGTCCAAAAAAAAAAAAAAATTAAAATAAACGTCTTTCTCGCTTTATTATGAACAGAGATGTCGGTGACCTTCCGAAATATCGTAGCTTCGGATCCTCTGATTTTGCTGTTTTCACCTCTTACAGGTTTATGATGAAATAGAAGTCTTTCCACTAACTGTGCACGCTGTGCAGCTCACGAAGACCGGCAGCGCGTCTGACTTCGGTACGTGTCGGGGCACCCCTCTGAGAGCTGCCCTGCTCATCCGCACCTCGCTTGCCCTGCTGTCTTTGGGTGTCATTTTTTTTCCTTTACGCTCACGTTTTCAGAATATACTTGTAAGACAGGAAGTTCTGAATTTCTCTTGCTTGTTTGTAGACTAGAAAGACTTGCATCGATGTTAGGAAGCAAGGCCGAAGTAGTGAAAAGGGATGTATCGAGAAATGGACGAGAGGTTGGAAGTGACGGAGGTGGTGGTCCCCGCTCACACGGGGGGTTTGCCGTGGCCAGGTTCTACCCGAAGGCAGTCAACACGGTTCTGTGTGCCAGCTCCTTGCTCCCCAGTGTCTTCATTGTTGGCCTCCTTTGCCCACCTGCACTGCCGTCTTACCCTTCCTCCTGACGATGTCATTCCTCCAAGGTCGGACTCAAGGTCGGACTCAGTCTGGCTCTCCAGAAAGTGTGTCTTCCGACTGCTTTATCTTCCCTTACCTCTTTCTTCCCTGATCTTATCAATGAAGGGTCATCATTTCTTTCTATATAATTTTTAAAGATTTATTTATTTATTTAAAAAGCCAAGTTTTACAGAAAAAGACAGACACAGATCTTCCATCTGCTGGTCACTCCCCAGATGGCCACAACGGCTGGAGCTGAGCCTATCCAGAGCCAGGAACCAGGATCTTCATCTAGGTCCCCCATGTGAATGTAGGGTCCCAAGGACTGCTTTCCCAGGTGCACTAGTAGGGAGCTGTATTGGAAGTGGAACAGCTGGGGCTCGAACCGGCATCCATATGGAATGTTGGTACCATGGGTTGTAGCTTTACCATCTTACCACCACCGGCCCCTAAGGATCAGCACTTCTAAAATCACTTTGCAGCATTTAATTTTTGTGTTTCTGTTGGTCTGTGTTTAAACTTGGCGCTAAGCTCTTTGTAGACTGTACTTGTGTCTTAACGTTCATTTCTATCTTGTATTGTCTGAGACTGTAGAAATTCAATAATAAGTCTATGGTAATATGTGCATAGCCAGACTATTTCTTCCCTTGTTAATGTGTTGATGGAATGGTTATTTGCCTTTCAAACGACTCAGGTCATAATATGTTAAAGTTACATAAAATTATTTTTAAGGTTTGCTCCATTTCTTTATTTACATAATCAGTTTTGCCCTAACTATGTTAGTTTTGCCTTTGGAGGCCTCTTAGCCTTGGCTGTGCGTCTGTTGGCCCTCACCCTGCTTTCCAGGGCCTCTCTTTGTGTGTCCTGTGTGCTTGAATGACTGAACCAAGACACTTGTAAAGAGGCCTTTTGGGACCACCATCTGCCAGGCTCTGCTTGAGGCACCAGGGAGCCCTAGGGAAACGTGACTCCTTCCAGCAGGCTGTGGAGACATGCCTCCTAATGTGCCCGGCATGCTGTCACCTGCCGTTAAGCACCGTATCCACCCAAGCCTTTCCACCTTCTTTTTTTAAAAAAATTAGTATTTAAAAATTTATTTGTTTATTTGGAAGGCAGAGTTACAGAGAGAAGGAGAGAGACAGAGAGAGAGAGAAAGAGCAATCTTCACGCACTGGTTCATTCTCCAAATGGCATCTATGACCAGGGTTGGGCCAGGCTGAAGCCAGGAGCTTCATCTGGGTCCCCCACCTAGGTGGCAGGGGCCCAGGGCACTTGGGCCATCTCCTGCTGCTTTCCTGGGCCATTAGCAGGGAGCTGGATTGGAAGTGGAGCAGCCAGGACTCAAACCAATGCATATATAGGATGCCAGCACTGCCAAGTCGCAGCTGTACCTGCTGTACATCAAAGCTGGCCTCTTATTGTGTCTCTCTCTTTTTGAGATACATTTATAAAATTAAAAAAATATATACTTATTTATTTATTTGAAAGGCAAAGAGAGAGAGAAATGCTTCCATCTGCTGGTTCACTTCCCAAGTGGCCTGCAATGGCCAGGGCTGGGCCAGACTGAAGCCGGAAGCCAGGATTTTCATCTGGGTCTCTCACACGGCTTCGGGGTCCCAAGCACTTGGGTCATCCTCTGCTGCTTTCCCAGGTGCATTAGCAAGGAGCTGAATCAAAACTGGAGCAACTTTGATCGGAACTGGTGCCTATATGGGAAGCTGGTGTTGCGGGTGGTGACCTAACCTGCTGTGCCACAACGAAGGCCCCTATTTTTATTTTTATTTTTTTATTTTTTATTTAAAAGGCAGAGTCACAGAGAGAGGGACCAGAGCATCTTAGCTGCTAGGCCAAACACCTGCTCCATTTTCACCCTCTTAAGGTGCCTAGCCCCATCCACCCATAGTTGTTTTCCAGCAAATATTTATTGTATTAAACTAAATTTGCTTTATTTCTGTTAAGAGTATTTTTAAGTTCCAGCTTAAAAAAAAAAATACTTGTGGTAAAAAAAGCTGCATTTAACACGACGTTTGTCACCTTCACCACTTGAAGTGCACGGTTTCGTGGTGTTGAGGATGTTCACAGCGCTGTGCAGCCATCCAAGGCCTCTTTTTCATCTTGCACCACTGAAACTGTGCACCCCTTTGACACCAGCTCCCCCGAACCTCCCAGCAGCCCCTGCAAGTGCCCTTCTGCTCTGAGTCTGTGCTTCTGACTGCTCTAGGTGCTTTCTGTAAGCGGAATCCTATAAAACGCGGCTTTTTGCGATTGCCTTGTTGCACTTGGCAGAATGTCCTCAGAGTTCACCCGTGCTGCTGCAGGTGCCAGGATTTCCTTTGTCTTTGAGGGCTACGTGACGCACTCTGCAAGAATAAACCACACTTGTTTATCCATTCGCCTGCTGATGGGCTGTCGGGGTGTGCTCACCTTTCGGCTGCTTTGAGTAATGCTGCTATGAACACACAGCAGATGTTGTCAACTTTTGAATGAGGTTGTGCCCTCATCTGTCTTAAACCTTCCCAGCTGACATGTTCCTCTTTTTTTTTTTTGTTGTTTTTATTTTTTTTGCCTGTGCTAGATATTTGTGCTTTTAAAATAGTGGTAATTTTGGCTTTCTCAACATACCTCTTCTGCAGGAATCGCCGCTCAAGGAAATACTGCGGGTTGGGTGAGGGATTGGGGCGTGGTGAACACAGACTCATTTGCCCTCTGATTTTCTTTGCCAGGATTTGCAGTGACTGCGCAGGTGGACGAGCGGCAGCGCCTCAGCCGGATATTCATAAGCGACGTCCTCCCGGACGGCCTGGCGTACGGGGAAGGTGTGTGGGGCCCGGTGTCTGGGTTCAGGCGTGATTGAAGCTGTGCAGTGCAGTCTGGCCGATGAAATGGTCATCCTCCACTTTTGTCAGAATTTCAAAGAAAATGAACTTAAGAGTTTAATCGAAAGTGAATGTGCATATGAGAAGAGAAGGTGGCGGGGTGTGTGTGTGTGTGTGTGTGTGTGCATTTTAAAAGCGTGGGAGCTCCTACAGGTACCAAGAAAGCAAACCCACGTTGGTAGAGAGGGAGGGAGGAAGAGACTGAGAGAGACACACAGAGACAAAAACAGTGTTCCCCCGTGGATTTACCATCAGAACGCTCAAAGAACAATTAACGCGGGACCCCCCCCAATTGTTCCCACTTCTGGCTCTGCCGGTGTGAAATTAGTTTTGTCATCAGTGTACACTGTACACTGCGGTGCTGTCTTTGGAGACAGCAAGCAAAACAATCCCCCTGAGTACAGGGTTTAAGTTTGCTGCCTTGTGAACGATTTCTCACGGTCTCATCTGCCTCTCCTTTTTTTCTTCCTCTTCCCCCTTTCTCGTTCTCAGGGCTGAGAAAGGGCAATGAAATCATGACCCTAAACGGGGAAGCCGTGTGTGACCTGGACCTCAAGCAGATGGAGGCCCTGTTTTCCGAGAAGACCGTGGGGCTCACTCTGCTTGCCCGGCCTCCGGACACCAGAGGCACCCTGTGCGCCTCGTGGTCGGACAGCGACCTGTTCTCCCGGGACCAGAAGGGGCTCTTGCCCCCTCCCAACCAGTCCCAGCTGCTGGAGGAATTCCTGGACAACTTGAAAAAGAACACAGCCAGCGGTAAGACTCTGTCCTGGCTTCCTTCGTAATTGCTATCAGTGGCTAATATTTTTAGGCTGTAATTTTGCTTGCAAACTTGGATTATTTAAGCCATTCAAAGACTGTTTCTTCCATGCATTTTATAATTGTGGCACTTTCAGAAAATGGAAAACAATTATTTTTGCATGAATGACTTTCTCTAAAACTGCACTCTAGAGAATCACCCACAGTATTTATTTAGTGTTGGAACTACTCTGTGACTGAAGGCGGATGAAACCTGCGTGCATGCGGAAGATGGGAGCCGCTACTTCTTCATTTGAATCTAGGGCAAAACCATTTGCTGGTGTTCTGTTGGGCTGATACAATTATTTTTTACTATCTCAATAAACAGCCAACTTTCAGTGTAGGTCATGAATTTTAAAACTTTGTGAAAGGCTAAAAATAAAAACTCGTACCCCAGTGTGATTCTCTCAAGGTGGAATCCCTGAGTGTGGAGATCACGGGAAGGTCTGAGTGTCTGAGCTCACTCATGCATATTTCATAAACTCCAGTCAGGTGAGTTAGAGGCTCTGGCTAGTGCGAATGCCTGGCGTCTGCCTCTCAACACCTCGAGGATGCCGCTGCAGCTCTATGGGAGCCCAGGCAGAACGCTTTCATCCTGGGAGTGCACAAAGTAATTTTTCTATTTAATTACCATCATAATGGGTTTCCAATGGAAATCTCTGCATGATTACCAAAAATGAATGAAAAACACCAAAGAGAAGTTGATAGGATGGATTTAATTATAAAGCCAGTTTATTAGGTCATTTTTGGAATGATAAAATTGGCTTGTAAGATTTGTGATTCAATAAGGTATCTGGTACTTTTTCCACCTCTCTTGGGGCTTTCTTCCAATTTAAAATACTATTAAATGGACTATTGGCATATAAAAGTGAGAATCATAAAGCAAAAGTTATGATGGAGCTAATTAATTACTTGGTTCTATTAGGGCCATCATTCAGCCGCCCTGGGCAGCTGGTACAGGCCCGAGTATCCCATATAATAGATGCATGTGTCCGTTCACTGGATTCATCACTCTTCAGGGATACGCACTCTACCTGTGTTGTACCTGTATGCATTTTATCATAATAAGAAATCACTATAGACTTTATGAGACTTTTGGTATTTGCAGGAATAAATTTCTATAGAAAATAGCAAAAGGGACAAATTTACCTTTTTTTTTTTTTAATAGGAAGCATCAGGCAGGTGAGGAAAGCTTTCTCCCCCTTCTCTTTTTGTCTTTTTGCAAGGAAACAGAGTTATGGGGTGGTCCAGGTTGTGTTAGACAGCTGTTCTGTTCCTTCTCCTTGGTAGCCGTTCTGATGTTCTGAATCTTGACCGCTTGCCTCCCTGAGGAATCCCAGTGTCAGAGTGTCCAGAGGGCTGAGAGTATTGGCAGCTGGTCCACAGCAGGTCCTCTTCCTAGTGCCTACTGGGCACTCATCTGGATGGGGATTGCCACCACTCAGGTGGGAGCCGCTGGCCCCGTCCAGCTTTCCTGGCAAGACTGTGCTCTGTTGGGTGCATTTCCCAGGTGGTTCCATGCCCAATCTACTTTATTAAAGGGAAGGGGTTTGTGTTGGCTCACGGTTTTGTAGGCGCACAGTTCAAGATCAGACAGGCTCTGTTGGCCTCTGGCGATGGTGATCTTGCTGCTAGGGTCCCAAGGCGATGGAGGGCCGGAGAGTGCTCTTGTCTGTGTCTCCTTACAAAGCCACCCGGGTCGATCATCGTGGGCTCCGCCGTGATGACCCAATCCAACGGCTCCCGCTCTGAACCCCAGAACTGGATCGACTTTTCATCCTCTTAAGACTTTGAGGACTGAATTCCCCAGCAGGGGGAGGGAGCTGTATTCAAACCCTAGCGGTCCCCTTCTGTTCCCGGGATTTCACGGATGGCCCCCTTTCCTGAGCTCCAGGGGTGGTTTGTGAAGGTGGGAAAGGGGAATATGGAGTGGGTAGATGGGAAATTGGAAAACGATGAAGTCTGAAACTCTCACTGGTATAGAGCGTCGTGACCAGTAGGGAAACTTGCGTTTAAGGAGCTTGACCGCCGGCGCCGCGGCTCACTAGGCTAATCCTCCACCTTGCGGCACCGGCACACCGGGTTCTAGTCCCCGTCGGGGTGCCAGATTCTGTCCCGGTTGCCCCTCTTCCAGGCCAGCTCTCTGCTGTGGCCCAGGAGTGCAGTGGAGGATGGCCCAAGTGCTTGGGCCCTGCACCCCATGGGAGACCAGGAGAAGCACCTGGCTCCTGCCTTCGGATCAGCATGGTGCACCGGCCGCAGTGTGCCGGCCGCGGCGGCCATTGGAGGGTGAACCAACGGTAAAGGAAGACATTTCTCTCTGTCTCTCTCTCTCACTGTCCACTCTGCCTGTCAAAAAATTAAAAAAAAAAAAAAAAAGGAGCCTGACAGGAGGCCCTGTGGCCTGAGGGGTGGCACCCTCCAGTGGGGGCTGGGCCGTGCAGGATGCCACCCCCGCCGCCTCCCGCTGCGAGGCTACTGTGGGGGTGCACTGCACACCGCTGCTCAGACGGCCCCTGGGGTTGCCTCCCTGTGGCACAGAGCAGCCCCTGGCCCTCGCCTTTCTAGGGGGCTCCTCTTGTCTCTTCCCAGCTTCCTCCCTTGGAGGTCTCAGGGTCAGCCTCCAAGTGGACTTCTGTACCCATGTCCTTGGCTCAGCCTCTGCTGTTGGGGGATCCTGAAGGAGGACCCTGAGCCTCGGGCCCCCCCCCCCGCCCCGACCCTAGTGGGTGGTGACAAGCTTGAGGGGCCCCCACCCAGGGATTCTGAATAGCACCCTCCTCTCCTTTGCTGCTTCGTGTAGTTGTTAAATTTATTTCGGTTTGCTTTCGTATTAAAGTAGAAAACAGCAATTCATACTAAAAAATTTAAAATTTACACACATTAAACATATAAACATATAACTTTTTTGGGAAGCATTTTTTTATTTGACAGATAGAGTCAGACAGTGAGAGAGAGAGAGAGAAGGTCCTCCTTCCGTTGGTTCACCCCCCAAATGGCCGCTACGGCTGGAGCTGTGCCAATCTGAAGCCAGGAGCCAGGTGCTTCTCCTGGTCTCCCATGCGGGTGCAGGGCCCAAGCACCTGGGCCATCCTCCACTGCCTTCCTGGGCCACAGCAGAGAGCTGGACTGGAAGAGGGGCAACCGGGACAGGACCGGCGCCCTAACCAGAACTAGAACCCAGGGTGCCGGCGCTGCAGGCAGAGGATTAGCCTAGTGAGCCGCGCCGGTAGGTTTCAGGGAGCAAGGGAAGTGGGGGTGCATTGCCCTCAGCTTCTGTGCTTTTCTAGAAAAGAAGCGTCCCACTGGCCCTTGGGATTCGTTGAGGAAAGTGGGTCCCGCACTTCCTAGTGTGTGAGCTGGAGCCTACTGTCAGAGCGCCTCCTGGAGGAGGCTCGTGGCAGTGCAGACTCCATTTTTAAGGAGCCAGTGGCTGACTGCTGAAGAGCAGTGTGTGCTGTGCTCAGGCTGCCTTGGCCGTTCGTCTCCAGGAGGTGGGCTGAAGCAGAACACAGGACTGAGGCTTCCTGAGTCCTGTGCAGCGGTGTGGAGGCACGGATGAGGTGGTGTGTGTCAGGATCTCCGCGCGTGCTCGCTGGAGTGCCCCTGCGCTGTTGCCCTCTGGGCAGGGCTCCTGTGCCTGCAAAGCACGCTCAGAACGCAGCTCTCCTCCCTTGTTCCGAGGGCAGCCCGGAGCAGAGACTTTCCGGCGTTCACCGGCCTGGCACCGTGGGGAGCAGAGCGGACGCGAGGGCATCGCCACGTGCTGAGGGTTCCATTCTCTTCCTTTGCTTGCTGCACCATGAATGGCCGCTTCATTCTTGCCTTCAAGGGTTTGAATTTCTGTTCTAGTAGAGAGAGGGAATGCCCAAGGTTCTGTCTGTGGCCTGAGTGGAAAGATCATCATTAAAGACTTTCTATTCAGAGAATCAGTGTTGCCACTGGACTCCCCCAAAGGAGGCGGTGTTGTTTTAGCACCCACAAGGCCACCATTGAAGGGATTGGATATCCCAGACGCGTTTATACTGGGATCCTGTTAATGCTGCGTTTGTGATTTCTGTATGAAAATCCCTATTTTTGTGTTTACTATTTTCTGAAAAAATTCAACCAGTTTTTTGAACGCGTCTCCCTGGGTAGAAAGTGTCTGAACAAAGTCTTTGTGTGAACGCAGAAGCTGTTGCGGCACTGATACAGTCCCCATCTGTAAACAGCTGTTAATACTACCTTGTTAGGATTGGATCAGGGGTATGTCTACCAGGAGACAAAATAGAAAAGGACTGTGTTTCTGCTTTCATTTAGACCCTACATCCCAGCGACCCCTAGCAGACGATGAAGGGACAGTGGCCCGAGGTTCCTTTTTAACCTTCCACTCTCTTGGGATTCGTTCTCTTTGTGAATTGATCTGTGGCCCCCAGCAGCCACTTAGGGGTAAAACTGCACTTTGGAATGAAACACTCTTGGGAATGTATGTGTCCATTATGCAGCTTTTCACCAGGGGAAAGAGTTATCGCGCCAGCTCTGATGTGGCAAACCCACTGATTTCCTGTTTACGAGAGCGAGGGCGTCTTGGCTCCCATAGCCGGTTTAGGATGACTAACAGCATTTAGCCTGGAGAATGCTCTGTTTGTGGGTGACGCTGCTGTTGCAGAGTCTGTCTGGCTGACACCCTGGATCGCCAGATGTGAAAGTTTATTAGTGTTCCTAAACATGGGTGGTGCACTAGATTTTTTTTTAAGTCAGATTGGGAAATACTTTTTTTTTTTTTTAAACCAGGACACAGAGCTTTGGTTGGTTGCAGGATTATTACTTTCTTCTAACTGTGCTGAAGGTAGTTTTCAGTTCCATCAACAGAAGTGAGCTTGTGGGTCAGCGCCGCAGCTCACTAGGCTAATCCTCCGCCTAGCGGCGCCGGCACACCGGGTTCTAGTCCCGGTCAGGGCGCTGGATTCTGTCCCGGG